TACACCTCTTGGGCTTCTTGAGGAGGAAGCCACAGGCTGTCGGAGGGGAGACATCACCAGAACAGGAGCCAGAGCTGGAGGAACCTGAGGAGATGTGCATCACGCTGCCCCTGGGTGATGGCAGGGAGTTGGTGGAGTGTCCCCTCTGCCTGCTGCCCCAGCCTCCCGAGGCCTTTCCCACCCTGGCCTCCTGCGACCACCGCTCGTGCCGGGCCTGCCTGGAGCAGTACCTGCGCATCGCTGTCAGTGAGAGCCGCGTGCAGGTGGCCTGCCCGCACTGCCCTGCTGCGCTCCAGCCCACCGATGTCCACCGCCTCCTGGCCGAACCTGCCCTACGTGACAAGTACGAGGAGTTCCTCCTGCGACGGCTGCTGGTGGCTGACCCTGGCACCCGCTGGTGGCCTTCGCCCGACTGCAGGGGACTGGGTTGGCCCTCGCGCCGGGGGGGATGGTGTGGGTCCCCTCTTCCTGCAACGGTGGAGGCAATGAGCTTCCCCAATGGGAGCTGGTACGCAGTAGACTGCGCCTGTGTCCTCTGAGCCTTTTCCAGGCTCAATCTCCTCGTGACTTCGTCCCTTGTAGAGCTGGGCCTGCTCAGAGGGATGTCGCAATCCCTGTCCCGGCTGCACAGCCCAGGCAGCTGTGTGTCTCTGCCAGGGTTGGTGCTTTTGGCCATGCTGGGCCAGTCCATGAGGCCCCAGGGGTACTGTGTGGGTGCTGGACGGGGAAGGCTGTGCTGCAGTCTGAGCTGGTGAGATTGGCTCCGGCCTCGCCGTGACAGGGGCTGCAGTTCTGTCTCAGTGTGGAGCTGGCCCCTGCCACTGGATGGCCTGGCTGTGCCAGGGAGGGGAATGGCTGCGTGCTGTGTGGGGACGCAGGGAGGGCTGTGGGCACCACTGGTCCCCCCAACACTGACCATCTTCTCCCCACAGCTTATGGCTGTGCTGAGTGTCCCCGCCTCACCTGCGGGCGCGAGGGCTGTGGCACCGAGTTCTGCTACCACTGCTGGCAGCCCTGGCACCCCGACAGCCCATGTGTGCCAGCGCCGCCAGCCCCCAACTTGGCCAGGCCTGCAGCAGAGCTAGTCCACCTGGAGGACTCGGCCCATGGTGAGGCCCTGGCCCAGGGCAGGAGCAAACAGGGCAGGGATTTGGCACAGCTGAGCAGCACGGTCAGATGCCTTTGTACTTTCCTGCCTGCGGGGATGCTGGAGCCAGGACCCAATGGTCCCCACTGACTGCCTCTGTGTGGAGGCATAGCCCCTGTGCCAGTCAAGCTGGGTGTGTGGAGCGGGACCTTGCTGTGCCTGGCTTACCCTGACACCCATGGAACAGGCTGCAATCCTGGGACAGGGTGTGGGGGTGCACCTGCACTGTCCTGCCCTGCCCCCCCATCCGATATCGTCTCCTTCTCCCCACCAGTTGAGGCTGAGGACATCAAAGTCTGTCCCCGCTGCAGTGCCTTCATCATGAAGATCAATGATGGGAGCTGCAACCGCATGAACTGCACAGTCTGTGGCTGCCTCTTCTGCTGGCTGTGCCTGCAGGAGATCTCCGACGTGCACTTCCTGAGGTCAGTGCAGGGCTGTGGGGCCGTGGGGTGTGCTGGGGGGCTGTGGTGGAGGGACTGCCAGGAGATGAGGGGCGGTTGCAGGAGCTGCCTCTGGGCTGAGCTGGGGGTGCTGTGCTGCTGGGCCGGGGCTCGGGCCTCTGCCTGGAGCTGTGGGACTAGGATGGGGGACAGCGAGGCCCTGCTGAGAGCCACGGCCATGCGCAGCCAGGTTTGGGGCTGGCTGGGCTGTGGGGCTGATCAGGGTGGAGGAGAGTCTGTGCTGCTGGGTCTGACAAGGCTGGGGGCCTGGGGCCAGCTCTCAGCACCCCACGGGGGGGGTCCCAGGAGGCAGCTGGAGCTCAGGACTGGGATGGGGGAATCTGGCTTTCCGCTTCCACAGAGGGCATGTGGGTCTCCCCTGCAGTGCGAGATTGGGCTGTGCTGGTGTCTGCCTGCCCCTGTGCAGGAACCATTGGCCTAGCCCCACTCTGTCCTCGCAGCCCCTCTGGCTGCACCTTCTGGGGGAAGAGGCCTTGGTCACGGACCCGGAAGATCCTGTGGCAGCTGGGCATGGTGCTGGGGGCGCCTATGGTGATCTCTCTCATCGCGGGCATCGCTGTGCCTGTCATTACCGTTGGGATCCCCATCTACATGGGTAGGAAGGTACTGGCAGGGTGCCCCGGAGTCCCCATGGTCCTGCTCACCACTGCCCACAGCATGTCCCTGTGCCACCCCTGATGGCTCACAGCCCCTTGCAGGGACCCTCTCTGCTGCCCACCTCAACACCCTCTGCCAGTGAGGGTACTGTCAGCCTGGAGAGGCGGGGGTTGGAGTGTGCAAAAGGAAGAAGGGGTCTGGGGGGTCCAGAGTGTTTTCCAGGGACACCTGAGCTGTGATGGCAGCACTGTCATGGCTGGCTGGCCCTGAGGAGAAGATGGGTCATCCAGGCAGCTGTGGCTGCTGCGAGAGCTCTGCCAGGGCTGGGAAGAGGCCGCGTCCCTGGGGGCTGTGTGCCGAGATCTCTGCAGAGCCGTTCACCTGTCTTGCTTCTCCTCGAGGTGCTGGGCCAGAGCCGGAGGAGCAGCCTGTCGGGGTGCCAGCAGTGCCTCTCTGTCACCAGCAGTGTCCTCCTCTCCCTCTTTGTGTCCCCCATCATAACAGCTGTCACTGTGGGTAAGTGCTGTTTTGCCCATGTGCTGGAGAGAGTGGGGCTGGGGCCTGGGGGCTCCTGCAGCGGAGGGTCTCCAGGGGGGATGTCTGAGACCTGGGGCACCAGGCATTTACCCAGGGGTGCTGGCCTGCCAGAGCTGCCGGCAGGGGCCGGGCAGTGACTGTCTGTCTGTCCGCAGGAGTCGGTGTGCCCCTGATGCTCACCTACATCTACGGAGTGGTGGTGTTGTCGCTGTGTCGGAGCCGCCGGGGGTGCGGGGGCAGGCGCAGACCCCCCGGGGATC